GCCCATAGGCGTTGTCTTATCAATTGTTAAACAATTATAAAAAGAACAAGAATCACTATCAAGCTTTTGAGTCAAACAGTTTGCACATGTTTGGTGGATAAGGACACATTTGAAAGGTCTTAATCTAAAGGCCAAATGGAATCAAACATCTTTAACCTTAGTTAATATCGAATCTTTTGATATTATAGTCCAAGTAAAGCACAACATTATGTTGGAATAACTCATTTATTGATTCACTTGGACCTGTGGGCTAGCAAGAAATGATGACTCTTCTTGTTAAAGACTTGGAATTCCATCTTTGGAGTTGTTCAAACCTTTTATATGTGTGTTTATACTTTCATCTTTATTCGATGTGATCCTTAACATGTCGTGTAAGATGGTGACTAGTTTGAGCTAATTAAATTTGAAACTCATATGCTCATTTTTGGAGTATTCATCAAATCGAATAGTTCGTTTGAGTTTAATTGGTTCTGATATCAAATTAAGATTTAGATAAAACTTAAAAAACCTTACTGAATTTGTACTGAAGCTAATGTGGCAGCATGCGGTTGGACCTTTTTATTTTTCTTTTTCCATCTTTCAATGATACAGTGCCATCTATTGTCTGTAAAGATTTTTTGTCGGAAAATTCTGTACTTGTAGCATGACTGTTAAGATTTGATGTTTCATCTTAAATGTGGATATAGATTTTTATCATTATTTGATGTCCCGTGAAAAGGTGACAAATTTGAACAAATTAGTCTTGAAATTTGTGTGCTTATTTTTAAGTTTTAATCGAATCGAATTTTTAGTTTGAGCTTAATGGCTTTGATACCATATTAAAATTTGATGTTTCATCTTAAAATGTCAACTTTATTAAAAGGAATAGTCCTAACTCTTATGTGTGAGTCTATATTTTTTCATTTTTCAATATGGGATTTGTCTTGGGTTGGTTTGCTAGCAAACGAAGTGCATCGTAGATACGTGTCAAACATACATGCACCCATGTGTGTACTTCCTCTCTCGATATAGATTATTATAGACAGATGCTTAATTCTTTTTGTCCTCGAGGACAGATTTTTCAAGATACTCTAATTTGTGCCGTTCACATCAAGTGGATATGTTACTATTGAACTAATTTACAGGATGTTCTGCCCTAAAGCTTTGGAAAATGGTATTGTAAACTGATATATTTTATTCTATTCAGATGAAAAAAACCCACTGTCTCAGTATATCATCCAACTAAGAAGACACGACTCTATCGAGTTAATGGAGAAAAAGGATAAAAATCAATCTTGACCCCTTTTCGTCGGGCTCTTCATATTGTTCGCACAACTATTTTTCTGATCGATCTAGACAGGAACAAATTTGATATCCAATACATTCATTTTTCCTTCATATCCCTCAAGTTCTTCCTAGAAAAATGTTACATTAACTTGTCAAAACATTTCTTCTTTTTGTTTAAGAAAGGCATTGTGATTCATATGAAGACACAAGTGCAAAACGACAATGAAAAAGGCTGTCTTTGGCAGCACAGATCGTGAGAATATTTTCCGGTGGGACGAGCGACAACCGTCCATTTGGTCCTCCTTTCGGTGGAATCCAATCAAATCGGTTCAGGTTTCAAGTTTATTTTAGTTTGATTTTCTTCGACATAAATCGTATGAATATCCCGTTACACATTATAGACGTATGTAAAATAAAATGTATAGTCGATTTCTCCATTTTATTCCTACCCACCTCTCCACAGCCGCGTCCCTATTTGACAAGGATATATTGAGAATTCAATGAACTTGATTACATAATTTAAAAATCAGGGCTCTTTTCAATTTTCTCTCCCAACTTCGTCCTCCTTAATTATTTTCCTCCAAAAATTTCCAAGAATACAATGCTCTTTTTTCATGTAAAGTCCACATCATAAATACATACAAAATGTGAATGAAGGGCAGCCTGGCCAATAAATGACTTCATATTATAGCATGTGCTAGGGGCAGCTTCTGCTTCTTGTTCTGTCTAATCATCACCAGATTTCTGCTTAAAACACAATCTTTATGTTACTATTTGCATGAATATTAGCTCCATCTGCCCAAGAAAATCCAGCCAGAGTAAAGATGCACTTAAAAACTCTTGGCCAAAATTTGATGCATTTCTCAATAATTGTTTACATGTGATCTTAGGCAGCACAACCAACCTCATCGGCAAGGTGATTTAACCCAGGTGGAGGACAAGTCGAGCCAAACCGAGCTAGTTAGATTCGACTCGAACATGCGATTTTATGCCAAACCCACAAATATCTTGGTATACTTTCCCTTCCACAAATTCACTTGGCAGCCTTACCATACCTGACCAGTTGGTTGATATTTACGCAATGGATCTGGGTTGGGAGGGGAAAAAAGAAAAGGTCAAGTAAATTTAATACAAATTGAACAAGAAAAAAAAATGAAGAAGAAAACAAGTTCATGCTGACATTAGAGTAATCTATAGTCTTCTTTATTTTACACGAATTTATTGTTTTGAGAACAACCGACCGAACTTGGTCTCTATAAATTTACGCAAGTTATCCAATTACTCTTTACCGTTCCGTCTAGGCACTTACTAGTTTTGCTAAAAGATTCAAAACTATTAGACATCATAGATCACAACAGATTATGTTAGTTTTTGTCCACTCTTTAGTTTATTGTAACATGTCCAACTCATATCACTTCATTCTTATGAAGTAAACCTCTTTAGACTATGAAAAACATATCACATTGTCACTATCTTACTTATCCCCGATACGGTTCAACTCCACTTATTGATGTTATACTCTCTAATATATCAATACTTCCATCTAGGGATAGCAAACGGACCAAGTTATCATTGGCTCGACTCAACCCGATCAACTAGGCTCGTTTTGAGACAAGTCATGGGTTGAGCTGAGGTCACTTTTTTATTTTTTTTCCACGATCTAGCTCATTTTCTTTTTACTTTATTAATATTTTCTTTTTTCTTTATTAATTTCTTAAATAAAATTTACTTTTTTGGGGCTTCTTTTGTTAAATTTAGTAACGAAAAAAACAGTCGGCTTGTGGGCAGCTCGGGTCGTCCCATGAGTCCAAGGGTCAAGCCAAGCTGAAAATAAAATTTGAACAAAAGCTCAAATATTTAAGGACCGAACCGACTTGCATTGCCACACCTACTTCCATCTATATATCTAATTTTTGGCCACATTCACTTTATAAAAAAAAAATTTCTTTAATTGCAAGGCCAAAAATCTTTTGCTATTTGGCATAAAAAATGAATAAAATTTAGTACAATTTTCTCTGCAAAAGGGTGGGTTTAGTACTGACTTTTCACGATGGGTACAGTATAAATTGGTTTTTGGATGAGCATTGAAACATATTCATCAGTACTTGGTTGTCCCCAACGCAACCGTGTCATAGCTACAGCACAGTTCACACCTTTGTTCACAACCCCCTCACATCAGGCTGACCCGCACACGTTAAAAAAAAAATAGAGGTGGGACTCCCTCATTGTAAGGGGCTGTGAATGCTGCTGTACAGCCCGCACTGTACAAGCAGCTTAGTCCCACGCAAACTTTCACATGCTGGACTGATCAAATTGTCAGGGAAAGTCTAGTAATTATTTGGACCACCATTTTTTCATTTTTGGATAAGAAAAACTTGTTGCTTTTACGCACATACTGAGTTTTATGCAGTACAATATGCAGAACCTTTTTATTCTTTTGTTTCTTTATGCTATTCAGTAGTGTTTAACTTGTTTGCTGAACATAATTTAAACCACTCATGAAGTGGCATGTTTGAGAGGTTTTGATTCGGCATAAAACTAACTTAAAAATAGTTACTTTTCTCAGGAATTATCTTTTACAAACTTTCTGGAAAAGTTACTTTTAGCCCCTGTTTGTTTCTCATTTTCGGAAGAATGGGAATGAAAAATATAGCCGTTACGGGCCCACACAAGAGATAAAAATTTAAATTTGATGGCTTGATGTGATGGATAACAGTCATATTTTTCACTTTAATGGGGAAAGAATGTGAAACAAATAGGGGCTTAAATTACTTTAAGCATAGTGAAACGTGCTATTTACAAATCTGAAGTTTGAGTTCTCTTTAGACCCGAGATTCATCTACTGCAGTTTTTGCATCTGTGAGGAGGTAAAGCACTTCAAGAACTCAAATTGAGTTGCTGAAAAAGAAAGATACTGAATAAATATTAAATACGATAAAACCTTCTTAACACGACTTGTTGATGCACAAACTTGTTACACAAAACTCGACTACAACAACTTATTGATAGCTATTGCCACAATTTGGAAATAAAAACTACTTATAATAATCTAAAAATGGACATAACAGAGAGAACTGTTCAACCAGCTGCAGATGGAAATTAGACAGTTTTCTAGCAATGTAAACCATGTATCCTTATTAGTTGAGCAGAGGGAGGAACTGGAAACCAGCAGGAACTATCTCTGCTATATTCAGAAGTCCAACAAGGGTCGTTCTGACAAACTTTAACGACGAAATAAGTCCTTCGACTGATGGCAGGTTTGCATTGCAAGTCGAAAGAGGCGTCTTAACCACCAATCTGCAATTGGATAGTAAAGTCGAGAGAACATTTAGGCCCCGTTTGATTACGAAGGAGGAAAAGGAAAAGGAATTCCACCTAAGTTGGAAAACAAAAAACCACCATATCCATAAGAATTCATTTTCCATGGAATTGGCCAAAAACGTGCTTTAAATGGTTGTACATAAGAATTCGAATTCCATTTCCACATGCGAATCAAACAGTCAAAGTGGAAATTATTTTTCTTGGATGTGACATTTTCCATGGAAAATGTTGTAATCAAACAGGGCCTTAGTAGTGGATTTAACGCGATTGAAAATTCTCTAGAGCTATTGGTGGTTGCACTAGCTACTATATTTCCAGCCCCACATTGCAACTGCACCAGAGCATCTGGAGGGAAACATGGCAACTTTAGTTTAAGTACGAGGTTTTACAAAACAAGTGCATGAAGTTTTTTTTACGTGTATTATAATCATGACAAAATTGTAAGGAAAATTCCATTTGTACACCAAGAGTTGTACACCCGTGTACACCCCTCCATCTGAGGAGGGTGTATACCCTTATGTACGTGTGGCATCTCCCAAATTGTAATACACAGCTACAAATAGGAGCAGTGATATGATCCAGGAATCGAGTCAGACGAAGGCAAGTGCGAGACGAGACCCGTTGATAGTCGATGGCGGACCAATGACGCGATCAAGGGCAAAGCAAGTGAAACAAGCGATGGGATTGCTCGTTTAAGAAACTATTGATAGAACCATGTTCAAGACTCAAAATGGGACAAGTTTCGTGTTCGGGTCGAAGGCCGAAACAAAATGGATCAATGCGTTACAAGCAGCCGAAGACGAGAGTGGGCAGTGTAACCATGCGGCCGCACAGCATGAGAACGAGATTTCAATTGGCCGAAATTTTATTACCATGCGGCCGCACGTGTTATAACCATGCGACCGCATGGTTCATTTCTGGGCACAATTTTCCTTTTTTTCACGTTTTTCCTTACTTTACTAGAATTTCATTCTTAATCAAACTTCTACCATATTGGACGAATATTTTAGAAATTTTGTTAGATTATTAGAATTATATATCCTTTTGACTTCTATTCGAGGAATAGTATAAATAGGAGAATATTTTTTCATTGTAAAAACCTTTGAACTTTTGACTTTGAATTAATATTATAGAGAGAGAAAATTATTCTTTCAATCTATTGTTCTTCTTAAACAATCTTGGGACTTATCAAGATTCAACTTCTTGTGGCGTTCTATCAATCGGATTGTGGGTTCTTTCAATTGTAATCAAGGGGTTTTAGGTTCTTTGTTAATCTAGGGTTTCTTGGTTCAATTCTTGGGGTTAAAGATCTAAAATCGGGTTCGTATTAGCGTTCTTGGGTTCTGCATCAATCTCGTTGTGGGTTTCGTAGTTTTCATTGCTACGGGGTTCGCATCAGTTGGTATCAGAGCTTTGGTTCCAATTTAATCAAGTTATATATTTTGTTTTCTAATTTTTTTTCAATTCCTTGTGTTCTTGTGTCCAGAAGGTTTTTTTTTTTTATCTTTGATCCAAAAAATTTCATCAAAAATCTTCAAATTTCGTTTTTGGGCTCAATTTTCGTCCAAATCAGTTTTCGTTTTCTTTGTTGGTTTTGTTATTGATTTCCGGATCTTAAAAAAAATTACTGTTCATCCGTACGGTACTGTTCATTCGTACAGACCAAAAGAACTGTTAAATATTATTGATCCGTCAAATACCAACTTTTATTATTCATTATCGTTTCTAAATTACTTGGACACATTAAATCGTTCCATTCCTTCAATTTAAATCAAGTTTTAGAAGTTTTCTTTGAGTCCTTTGTTACAATTATTAAGTCACATCCGGTTTGGGGAATTCTACACGAATTGATTGATTGATTGAGTTCATTGATTGCTCCTAGAGGCAATTGTTGAAAGAATTGAGTGGTAAAAGGCAGAGAGGTGAGCTTAATAGAGGGTAAAAGCCTTGTGTGTGTTCCGAGTGACTTTTGGTGAGGCAGTAAAATAAAATTTTAGTGTTAGGATGTCAGAAAGGGTAGAATCAAACTCAAACCGACAAGGCAATAATAGCAATACATCGGAGGATTTAGTGCAAAGATTTGAGAGGGCGTTTGGAGATGTGAGAGATAGGTTAGAGAAGCAGGAGGCTTGGATGAATAGATTAGATACATCGGTGGCTAATCTTAGTCGAGGGCATCGGGTGGATGTATTCGATGCCAGAGGACCGGATAGATGGGAGCTTAGGAGGGAAAGGCGAGAGGAGTATGGATATGGGAGTGACATGAGCGAAGATGAATTTCACGGTGTTGAGATGGGAAGGATGAGGTTCGACAGACGTGGTCGGAATGATCGTGGGGAGGAGTTGGATGGAAACTTGGGAAGTATAAAAATGACAGTTCATTCGTTCAAAGGAAGGAGTGATCCCGAGGTATACCTGGAGTGGGAAAGGAAGGTTTAAATGATCTTCGAGTGTTATAACTATTCGGAGGAGAAAAAGATGAAGCTAAAAGTTTTGGAGTTCAGTGACTATGCAATTTCATGGTGGGTTCAAGTGATTACTTCATAATGTAGGAGTGGGGGAAGACCAATCAGCACTTGGGAGGAATTGAAGTCATTGATGAGAAAGAGGTTTTTCCTAGCCACTATTATCGAGAGATCCATAAAAAACTGCAAGGTCTATATCAAGGGTCGAAAAGTGTAGAGAACTATCATAAGGAGATGGAAATACTCATGATTAGGGCCAATGTGGTGGAGGATCGGGAGGCTACCATGGCACGATTCTTGAATGGGTTGAATAGGGAAATTGCCAATGAGTGGAGTTGCAACATTATTTGGAGTTGGAAGAAATGTTGCATGTGGCTATGAAGGTGGAGAGACAGTTGAAGAGGAAAGGGACAGCTAGGCAGCCGTTAGGAACTTCGAGTGTTAATCCATCTGGGAAGCCAGGGTGGAACAACAACAACAAAGGTGATAAAGCGGTACCTAAATGTAGGAATGAGTGGTAGAAAGGGAAAGAAGAAAGTGCTAGCAAAACAGCACCTAAAACAGATTCACAACCATCAAGGAATCGAGACATCAAGTGTTTCAGATGCTTGGGATCAGGGCACATTGCTTCTCAATGCCCAAATAAACAGGTAATGGTTTTGTTGGATAATGGAGAAGTAGTGAGTGAAAGTGAAGGAGAGTTTGAGGACATGCCTGCATTGGAGGCCGTTGAAGAAGAAGAAAACTTGGAGTTTGCTGTTGGGGAATCGTTGGTGTCAAGGAGAGAGCTCTTAACACTTAAGTCAAAGTGGATGATTCGGAGCAGCAGCGAGAAAATATATTCCACACATATTGTAACGTCAATGATAAGGTATGTAGTATGAATACTGATAGTGGGAGTTGCACGAATGTAGCTAGTACAACTTTGGTTGAGAAATTAGGACTAGCATTATTAAGACACCCTAGGCCTTATAAGTTGTAATGGTTGAATGAAAGTGGGGAAGTTAGGGTGAATAAAAGAGTTTTAATTAATTTCTCAATTAGGAGTTATAGTGACAAAGTAGTATGTGATGTGGTGCCTATGCATGTGGGTCATATCTTGTTAGGAAGACCATGGCAATATGATAGAAGGGTCACACATGATGGTTATATGAATCGTTATAGCTTTGTCAAGGATGGGAAGACTATTACTCTTGCACCATTAACACCAGCACAAGTGTATGGAGATCAAATCAAGCTGAAAAGTGAGGAAGACGAGAGAATAAGAGAGTCGGGAAAAAGGAGAGGCAATAGTGAAACCATCAATAAGAGAGAAAATAGTGAGGTAGCTGAGAGTGGAGAAAAGAGAGAGAAGCCACATGAGCAGAGAGAAAAAGAGTCAATTGAGAGGAGAGAAAAAGAGTCAGCTGAGCGGAGAGAAAAGCCAAAAGTCAACTTCTATGCAAAAGAGAGAGTTGAAAAAGGCTATGAGCGATAATAGGCAAATGATATTGTTAGTGTACAAGGAGTCCCTCCTCAATTTTAAGGATTCTAACACATCCCTCCCTAGTTTGGTTAAATCTTTATTGCAGGAGTTCGACGATATGTTTCCTAAGAAGATGCCAAGTGGATTGCCACCAATCAGAGGCATCGAGCACCAGATTGACTTTGTACCCGGAGCTGCCATACCGAATCGACCAGCTTACCGAAGCAATCCCGAGGAGACGAATGAGCTTCAAAAGCAAGTGGAGGAGTTGATGAGCGAAGGTTATGTCGGGGAGAGCATGAGTCCATGTGCTGTACTTATTTTGCTGGTGCTTAAGAAGGATGGGACTTGGAGAATGTGTGTGGATTGTCGAGCTATCAACAATATCACGGTAAAGTATCGTCACCCAATACCTAGGCTAGATGATATGATTGATGAGTTGCATGGTGCTTGCATTTTTAGTAAGATTGATCTTAAGAGTGGGTATCATCAAATACGCATGCAGGAAGGTGATGAATAGAAAATGGCGTTTAAGACTAAGTATGGATTGTATGAATGGTTAGTTATGCCGTTTGGACTCACTAATGCACCGAGCACTTTTATGCGTTTAATGGACCATGTTTTGCGTACTTTTATTGGGAAATTTGTTGTAATTTATTTTGATAACATCTTAATCTATAACAAAAATCTAGATGAGCATTTAGAACATTTAAAGTGTGTGCTTGTTGTGTTGCGAAAGGAACAACTGTATGCTAATTTCAAAAAGTGCACATTTTGCATGAAAATAGTTGTTTTCCTAGGATTTGTGGTTAGTGCTAACGGGGTGGGAGTCGATAAAGAAAAAATAAAAGCTATTAAAGAATGGCCAACACCTAAGACTATAACCGAAGTTAGGAGTTTTTATAGTTTGACTAGTTTTTCTAAGCGATTTGTAAGATATTTTAGCACCATCACCACACTGTTGACTGAAATAGTAAAAAAGATTGTAGCTTTTCATTGGGGAGAATCTTAAGAAATTGCATTTAACACAATTAAGGATAAGCTATGTAAAGTACTTGTTTTGGCATTACCAAATTTTGATAAAACATTCGAGGTTGAGTGTGATGCATCAAGAATAGGCATAGGAGCAGTGTTAATGCAGGAAAGGAGACCTATTGCTTACTTTAGCGAAAAGTTGAGCGGGGCAGCATTGAATTATCCGACATATGACAAGGAGCTGTATTCACTTGTTCGAGCATCGGAGACTTGGCAGCACTACTTATGGCCAAAGGAATTCGTGATACACACCAATCATGAATCTTTAAAGCATTTGCGAGGTCAAGGTAAGTTGAACGAAAGACATGCGAGATGGGTGGAGTTTATAGAGACATTTTCCTACGTCATCAAGTACAAACAAGGTAACGAAAATATAGTTGCTGATGCGTTGTCTCGAATGTACGTGCTTTTAAATTCATTAAGTACTAAATTACTTGGTTTCGAATATATTAAGGGCATGTATGAATCTGATTGTGATTTTTCTAGTATTTATGCTTCATGTGACAAAGGTGCATTTGATAAATTCTATAGGCATGAAGGATATTTGTTTAGGGAAGATAAGTTGTGCATTCCTAATTGTTCTTTGCATGAATTATTGGTAAGGGAAGCACATGGGGGTGGTCTAATGGGACACTTCGGGGTTCAAAAGACTTTAGACATGTTAGGGGAACATTTTTATTGGCCGAAAATGCGACATGACGTAGAACAAATATGTGGAAAGTGCATAACTTGTAAAAAGGTTAATTCTAAGGTTCAACCCCATGGTTTGTATACTCTTTTGCATGTACCTAGTGAACCTTGGGTAGACATATCTATGGACTTTGTGTTAGGTTTGCCTAGAACAAAAAAGGGTCGGGATTCAATATTTGTAGTGGTCGATAGGTTTAGTAAAATGGCGCACTTCATACCATGTCATAAAATTGACGATGCTACTAATATTGCAGACTTATTCTTTAGGAAAATAGTACGTTTACATGGAGTACCTACAAGTATAGTGTCTGATAGGGACGTGAAGTTTTTGAGTCATTTTTGGCGTGTTCTGTGGAGTAAGTTAGGAACTAAGTTATTATTTTCTACAACTTGTCACCCACAAATAGATGGACAAAATGAGGTAGTTAATCGAATTATGACTCAATTACTTAGGACAGTGATCAATAAAAATCTGAAATCATGGGAAGAGTGTTTACCGTTTATAGAGTTTGCATATAATCGAGCTACACATTCTACTACTTCGTTTTCTCCTTTTGAAATTGTTTATGGTTTTAATTCACTGACACCTATGGATTTAATGTCTTTGCCTTTGCATGAACGAGGTAACTTGGATGGGAAACGAAAAGCCGAGATGGTGAAAACACTCCATGAAAAGGTCAGGATGCAGATCGAAGAGAAAGGAAAGCTGATTGCATCAAAAGCAAATAAAGGAAGAGGACGCGTTACATTTGAGTCTGGAGATTGGGTCTGGGTGCATTTCAGAAAAGAGCGTTTTCCAGAACAGAGGAAGTCAAAATTGCAACCACGAGGCGATGGACCGTTTCAAATCATCGAGAGGATCAATGACAATACATACAAAGTGGATTTACCTGGTGAGTATAATGTTTCAGCTACTTTTAATGTATCTGATCTCTTTTTGTTTGATGTAGGTTCAGATTCCAGAACGAATCATTTTGAAGAGGGAGGGGATGATATGATCCAGGAGTCGAGCCCGATGAAGGCAAGTACGAGACGAGACCCGTTGATAGTCGATGGCGGACCAATGACGCGATCAAGGGCAAAGCAAGTGAAACAAGCGATGGGATTGCTCGTTTAAGAAACTATTGATGGAACCATGTTCGGGACTCAAAATGGGACAAGTTTCGTGTTCGGGTGGAAGGTCGAAACAAAATGGATCAATGCGTTACAAGCAGTCGAAGACGAGAGTGGGCAGTGTAACCATGCGGCCGCACAGCATGAGATCGAGATTTCAATTGGCAGAAATTTTATTACCATGCAGCCACACGTGTTATAACCATGCGACCGCATGGTTCATTTCTGGGCGCGATTTTCCTTTTTTCTAAGTTTTTCCTTATTTTACTAAAATTTCATTCTTAATCAAACTCCTACCATATTGGACGAATATTTTAGGAATTTTGTTAGATTATTAGAATTATATTTCCTTTTGACTTCTATTCGAGGAATAGTATAAATAGGAGAATATTTTTTCATTGTAAAAACCTTTGAACTTTTGACTTTGAATTAATATTATAGAGAGGGAAATTTATTCTTTCAATCTATTGTTCTTCTTGAACAATTTTGGAACTTATCAAGATTCAACTTCTTGTGGCGTTCTATCAATCGGATTGTGGGTTCTTTCAATTGTAATCAAGGGGTTTTAGGTTTTTTGCTAATCTAGGGTTTCTTGGTTCAATTCTTGGGATTCAAGATCCAAAATCGGGTTAGTATTGGCGTTCTTGGGTTCCGCATCAATCTCGTTGTGGGTTTCGTAGTTTCCATTGCTACGGGGTTCGCATCAAGCAGCCTACAAAGTTATCATCGCTATTAATAGAATCTTTAAGAGAATAATCGACACATTTAATGGAAGTCTCACCTAGGCATGGTTATTGCACGTTTATCGTGTCAAAAGGAGAAGGAAACAAAAAAAGAAAAAAAGACATGAAATATGAGCAGCAAAGCCTGGACTATGTATATACACAATCTTATGGATAAATGACACATGAAAAATATAGAAAAGTATCAAGAAATCGAGAAACAGGATTAGTGTTTAGAAGGTAACATAGTTTGTTTCATTAGTTCTTTGACATCGGAAAAAAACTTACTAGGGAAAACTGGTGTTGCAGTGCCATTGACACCTATATTGCCATTGACAGTGCAAAATACAGTTCCGTTGGTACTTATTAGGCGAAAAAGGTTACCAAGAAGTCCTTGTTGGGCTTCTATAATTACTGGTGCTATTATTGCGACAGCCATGAAAATTATTAAGAGATTTGGTTTAAGGGCCATGGTGTCTCTGGGATAATAAAAATAGAAAGGCAAAAGCTGCTGATTTTGCTACAAATTTAGGGCTAAATGCAGCCAATTTATAGGAAACATTGCACAGGGCATGTCGACGAAGCAAAATTTTGTGGACTAAATTAGAAATTCTTGTTTTTTTACGGAGTATTAAAGAAGAAAAAGAAACTAAAATCTTGTCTGGTGTACTGCTTTGTCATATTTAATACTACTAATCAAACATGCTCGGAAAATTTGGGCTTCTATAATTACTGGTCCTATTATTGCAACAGCCATGAAAATTATTAAGAGATTTGGTTTAAGGGCCATGGTGTCTCTGGGTTAATAAAAATAGAAAGGCAAAAGCTGCTGATTTTGCTACAAATTAAGGGCTAAATGCAGCCAATTTATAGGAAACGTTGCACAGGGCATATCGACGGAGCAAAATTTTGTGGACTAAATTAGAAATTCTTGTTTTTTTACGGAGTATTAAAGAAGAAAAAGAAGCTAAAATCTTGTATGGTGTACTGCTTTGTCCTATTTAATACTACTAATCAAACATGCTCGGAAATTTTGGATAAGGGATTGTATGAACCGTATTTAAAGTCAAAAGAGACAAGTTTTGGTAGGTTTTTTCCCCAAGATTTGCCTCTCAGATTTGAACTAGCATATGCAGTTTATTGTCACCTTGCTTGCCTTTACTTTGTGGGCTTCACTCTAGAGGTAGATCTACTGCCCTTCCTAAGCTTCAATATAGCATGCTTTATTTGGCCTCTATAAGGAAATTTTTTCTTCTTTCTTTTTCAGAACCAATTAATGGTCCAATTAAGGCAATTTGCCAGAAGTTGACTCGCCTCGAAAAATCGAAATTTAAGACTAATTATTTCAGTAGAGTAGAGAGATTTTCTGTTCATTACAGGATTCCTCTGTTCGCTTATCTAGTTATGATTGGTCGGATAAAATTATTCATAGGCATTCATGTAGATCAAATTACAAATTCAGTATGGGATTCGAGTACCTAGTTTTATTCATCCGACAGTGAACGAACTTTCAGTACAAATGCAAGAAGAATAGATCAAGCGAACTGTCACAATGCAAGCCTTTATCGGCAGGAAAGGGGGTGGGAGAATCTGACTGTAGGAGCAATTGGCCCAAGAAAATCTCTACTCCCTCTTGATTAGGGAACTTGCAAGAATGAAGCAAATGACACTAGACAACATATGACATTTTAGGAAATTCTTTCATTATCAGAATCCTCCCAATCCACGTCTCCCAGTGTATCATCCTCCTCGCTATCTCATCAATCTCCACTATTTTTGTTGGATATTGTTGGCCGTTCGAGTTAATTTATTTGTACTCGTAAAAATTTGAAATAAAATATATATATTTATTTTTTGATAAATTGTTTGTATTAGTTTGAGCTTGCGTATGTTTGTACATCATTTTGATATTGTGAATCGAATGTGTAATTATTCGATCTAAATTTTAAAGTCCATGGTTGGTAAATAAAGATGAACACTTTATTTTGATAAAGATCATCTCAGTTTTATTAAAGTTCATTTTTGACATTCTCAATTAGATTGAGAGTACATTTTCAACGTATTGGATTGGATCGTGTGAAATTTAATTTGTGGCATTAACCACACGATTTTAATTTTACTTGACTATCTTAGGTGGGACCTTAATCATGTGCAGGTGATGAATTAGGTAACTCGAAATTCTTTGATGTATAAATTGGTGAGATCAAATTGTTGGTTAATAACTTCGTGTCTTGAAAATTAAAGTAATATAACATGGAACATATATTCACAATATAGAATCAGTCACTTATTTAATAAGCATGATCATGAGCTCAAAATAATTCTGATGGATAGTTAAAATTTGAGCTCATTAACTCAACATTAATTATTGAGTTAATCTTGTAATGTGATTACATGGAACCATCAGATTGAAAATGGAATTCGAGGATGTGTATATTTGGAAAAATTACATTTTGGTCATTTTAACCTTGTTCCATATATTCGGAATGGTTGCCAAGGGTCTTATGCAAGAAAGATAAGCTAGGGGATATAATAATCAATTATACAACTTTGAATATATTGGATTAGATCCGTGAAATTTAACTTGTGGCATTAACCACATGGTTTTACATTACTTGACTATCTTCCCTGGGGACCTTAGTCGTGTGCACGTGATGAATTTAATAAATTGAAATTCTTTGATGTATCAATTGGTGAGATCAAATTGTTGGTCAATAACTTGGTGTCTTAAAATCACAATATAGAATCTCTCACTTATTAATAGGCACAATCATGAGCTCAAAATATTTTTGGTGGGCAGTTAAAATTTGAGCTCATTAATTTTGAATTAATATTGTAATGTGATTACATGGAACTGTCAGATACAAAATGAAATTCGAAGATGTTTATATTTGGAAAAATGACGTTAGGGTCATTTTAACTTTGTTCCATATATTCGAAATGGTTTTCGAGGGTCATATGCAAGAAAGATAAGTTAGGGAATATAATAATCAACTATACAACTTTGGTAATTTTTGTAATTCTGAGAGTGCAATTTCTTTCTTCTAGTGGAATAGAATGAGTTTAATAATTATCTTAACCAGTTGACTGGGTCAAGATAAATTTATAGAAGCCTAGATTTATAGAATTTGATTAAATCCTTTCGACGACTTCAAAATAAGAATTAAGATAAAATATAAGAATTATAGTTTATAGTGAATTGTAGTTAAAGTAGTGACTTTAATTGGACAATGACGTGACAATCAAACAGCCACGTGTATTGGACACGTTATATATATATATATATATATAATTCACGATAAATTATAACCCTTATAATTTATTCTAATTCTTGTCTTGAAACCATTGAAACGAGCTAATCGGAACCAATTAAACTAAGCTTCAATAAGTTAATCTTGCCCTGAGTTAACTCTTGGTCAATGAGAGATAACGTACTATCTTGTTTAATTCCACTATAAGGACAAGATTGCACTCTCAGTCTAATTGAAATTGTTGAAATGTCTAATTAATAATTATATTCTTTGACTTATCGTTTTTACATATTATCCTCATCGATCATTTCGAATATTTAGAACAAGGTTGAAATGATCAAAACGCCATTTTTCAAATATTCATAAATTCTCAAATTTCATTTTCTATTTGGTAGTTCCATGTGGTCACATCACAATATTAAATTCAACAATAAATGTCAGATGATTGAGCTAAAATTTAACTATCCATTAGAAAATTCTCTGAGTTCATGATTGTGCCTAATAAATAGGTGACGGATTCCATACAGCAAATATATGCTCCCGTTATTTTACTTTAATTCTCAAGGCACCAAAATATTGACCAGCTTGCTGATCTCACCCATTGATATCCCCTGAAGAACTTCAAATTAGTAATTGAATTCATTAGCCGCTAAAGATTAGGTCCTAGATACTATAATCAAGTGAAATTAAATCCACGTGTCATATCAAAAATTAAATTTTACACGATCTAATCCAATACATTCAAAATGTACTTTAAAAGATGAACTAAGATAAAATTGAGACAATATTATCAAAATAAAGTATTCGTCTTTATTCACGATTGAGGACTATAAAATTTAAATCGAATTAAATTAAAACATTTTGTACTTGACAACTTAAGCATTCGATTTATAATATCAAGTGATCTCCAAACAAGTACAAGCTCAAATTAATACAAATAAATTATCGAAAAAATTAATATTTTATTTCAATTGTAATCTATACAAATAACTTACTCACGAGCAAATACAATCTAATGTGCCCGAAGATTGAATATTTT